ATCTCAGAGAGCATACACACTAGATTTTCCTTCTCATCTAAGCAAGGTTATATAATGTTGCAGTGCTATGAATGCTTGCTAGAGATAAAATAAGGAAAATCATAGTAGCAAAAATTACCCCTAGAGTTGGGGGGGAGCCTAAGATTAATATTTAAGCCAGTACAATACTGACAGGGAAGGCTGTCCAAATAAGCTATCAACTATGAGATCTCTGGGGAATGACTGGATCCTTTTTCTAGTAATAGATTGTTTAGAATGAGTCATTACTTGGAAAGGAAGTCGCAAGATTGCTTTATTGTGGCATTTGATGCCAAAGTGTTAACCACAATTAGTTTTGGATTATATTCCTATGTAGTCCTTTTCACTCTTTCCTTATACAACTGACAACTACGGTATCCTTTAAGCATAAATCCATAATTATAGTCTTTTGTTTCAGTTGAACTGAAATGTAAATGATTTTGTGGGACATACTTTAAGAGCAAATACTGTCAGATTCAAATATGTGCAGTGAAACTCCGAGTTTATCCTTTTCTTTTAGAAATGATAGGCTATGAATGCTGAAATTCTGGATGGTGGAATAGGGAGAGATGTTTAACCTGTTCTAGCCTGACATGCATTCTGCAAATGTCCCTCAGTTGCTTTTCCTCAGGCTGTGCTCAGATATGTGTTTATTATACGAACTGGAAATACTTCCGTATACATCTGAACACACATTTGCACATTGCAGAGATGGCTGTCAGAGGACTTTGTTGTTGCCCTAGGCTAGAGGTTGTACTTTTTCCAGTACTGTGCAGCAGTGGCGACAGAAGGCAGAGATACCCACTGGCTCTGGGCAGCTTGTTTCTTCCAGTATCTTACTTCCTTCATGGCTGCTGTGCCCATAGCCTTTGCTGAGTAATTCAGAATATGGGCAAGGCAAAGCTAGCTTCTTACACAAACAGGACTTTGAAGAGACTTCCATCACACAACAGCTCCACTTGTTCCCCACTTTCTAATTTTTGGATGTATATGTATGCACATACATGAATATGTGAACTACATGTATGGATTGTGTATATGCATGCTAGCGATATCAATATTCACTCAGTTTATTCTCATATACAGATGTGAGGAAGTTCATTTTTTTCTCCTGACTGAGGAAGAGTTTGAACCTATTTGTGCATTTGAGGATTTTGCTGTGTTTGACTATGTTCTTGATGGGGAAAATCATGTTTTGAGTGTTGAGTGTTTTGTCAAAGTCTTTCATGGTAGAATCACTGTGTTGCTGTGAGTTTTACAGGCTGTATGGCTATGAATTCTTGTCCCAGCATTGAATGTTTGCCATCTATATGCTGTGCTCCACCCTAAGTCCTCTTCGGGGTGAGAAGGACAAAATATAAATGTTTTAAATAAATAAATAAATACATACATACATACATACATACATACATACATACATACATAAATGTATGTTCCAGAAGAATTCTCTCCTGACATTGTGCCCACATCTGTGGCAGGCATCCTCAGAAGTTATGAGGCCTGTTGGAAACTAGGCAAGTGAGGAAACCATGAAAATGAGCAAAATCTGGCTACCAGTATTTTTTAAAAAAGACCTCCAAAATCAAGATGCTAAATAAAGAACAACACTCAGAAGACATTCTAGGCAAGAAACAATAAGGGCCAGTTAACACCTCCCAACAATGGCAGAAAGCAGTCAGGCTTTGAAGCTGCAAGGCTATTCAGTGCTAAACATGGTGGCCAGTTGCAATAGTCACACTTGCCTTAAGCAGACAAGAGTTCTCTCTCCCACCCTGAACATTCCACAGATATATAAACCTCACTTGCTTAGTTTCCAACAGACCCCACAACCTCTGAGGATGCCTGCCATAGATGTGGGTAAAACGTCAGGAGATAATGCTTCTGGAACAGAGCCATACAGTCCAGAAAACTCACAGCAACCCATGCTTTGAGTATTAATTACTTAATCTGCGCTAAGGTGTTTGCATCATGAACCATCAAATGTTTTGTAAAAAGATGGTGTTAACTAGAATACTTTGTACATTTTGATGTCACAATTTTCTCCCCAAAAAACCTCTGTATTTTTGTATATGTGTATGTGTGTGTTGTACATACACCTGTAGCTAAAAATAGCACTTCATGCATCTGATTAAATGGACTTGAAAAAAACTAAGGTGCTGAAAGGTTCTTTGTTAGTTTTTCTGCAACAGACTAACACAAGAAACTCTTCCACTGTTACAACTTCCAGAACACTAAGAAATATTTTGTAATGTGTTACATTGTTGATTCAGTGTGGTACAGTAATGTGTTAGACTAGAAATACAACTACAGTCACGGTAGAATTAATACAGTTAAACACCACTTTAACTGCCATTTGTGGTTTTACAGGTTCTTTAGCTGATACCCAAACAGGGGGTGGGCTGGAGATGTCACTGCCTTGGTCCTTTCACTAGTGGTTGCTACTCCCTGGTGGATGTCAGGTGGTGCAATACCGGCTAAATAGTGTAATTTCTCCAGTGGTGTAGGGCGCAGACACCCCGTGATAATGTGGCATGACTCATTAAGGGCCACATCCACTGTTTTAGCATGGTGAGATGTGTTCCACACTGGGCATGCATACTTAGCAGCAGAGTAGCATAGCGCATGGGCAGATGTCTTCACTGTATCTGGTTGTGATCCCCAGGTTGTGCCAGTCAGCTTTCGTATGATATTGTTTCTAGCGCCCACTTTTTGCTTGATATTCAGGCAGTGCTTCTTGTAGGTCAGAGCACGGTCCAGGGTAACTCCCAGGTATTTGGGTGCGCTGCAATGCTCCAGTGGGATTCCTTCCCAGGCAACCCTCAGAACTCGGGATGCTTCTCTATTCTTAAGGTGAAAAGCCCATGTCTGTGTTTTAGATGGGTTAGGAATCAGCTGGTTTTCCCTGTAATAGGCAGTAAGAGCACCTAGAGCTTCGGAGAGCTTCTGTTCAACCATCTCAAAGCTCTCAGGATAGAGAGAGATCAATGGATACTCCAGTTTGAGGTGCTATTGAGTACTTACTTAGGCAAACACTCATAGTCTGAGAATCATAGAATCATAAAGTTGGAAGAGACCTCATGGGCCATTCAGTCCAACCCCCTGCCAAGAAGCAGGAATATTGCTTTCAAAGCACCCCTGACAGGTGGCCATCTAGCCTCTGTTTAAAAACCTCCAAGGAAGGAGCCTCCACCACACTCCGAGGCAGAGAGATCCACTGCTGAACGGCTCTCACAGTCAGGAAGTTCTTCCTCATGTTCAGATGGAATCTCCTTTCTTGTAGTTTGAAGCCATTGTTCCGCGTCCTAGTCTCCAAGGAAGCAGAAAACAAGCTTGCTCCCTCCTCCCTGTGACTTCCTCTCACATATTTATACATGGCTATCAGATCTCCTCTCAGCCTTCTCTTCTTCAGGCTAAACATGCCCAGCTCCTTAAGCCACTCCTCATAGGGCTTGTTCTCCAGACCCTTGATCATTTTAGTCACCCTCCTCTGGACACATTCCAGCTTGTCAACATCTCTCTTCAATGATGGTCCTCCAAGTGCAGTATCCTGGCGGTGGGTCCGTAGGTGACTATGGAGCCCTATTCTTGATCTGCATCTTCTCCTCGCTCCCTTCTTCCTTGGCTCCCCCCTCCCCTCCCTTTCGTGTCAGAAATAACTTGAGAAACTGCAAGTCGCTCCTGGTGTGAGAGAATTGGCTGTCTGCAAGGATGTTGCCCAGGGGACGTCCGGATGATTTGATGTTTTTATCATCCTTGTGGGAGGCTTCTCTCATGTCCCCATGAGGAGCTGGAGTTGATAGAGGGAGCTCATCCGCCTCTCCCGGATTTGAACCTGCGACCTGTCGGTCTTCAGTTCTGCCGGCACAGGGGTTTAACCCCCTGTGCCACCGGGGGCTCCTCCCACAGCGAGGGCATAGGTTTCCAGGTGGAAGGCGGTCCCGGTTGGGGTTGGCTTGACGCGCCTTTCTCTTGACACCAGGCTTGAGGGGCTTCAGCCCCCCCCCCCCCCGAAATTCTCATGGTGGTCCACAAGAAGGCCTTACTGGTACATTATTTAAACTGTTATGTTTATTCATATCATGATCTGATCACCATGCTCAATATATCCCATATGCATGGGGGTATTGGCAGAGGCGGCCCTGGGCAATTTTCAATGATAAGCAAACAGTATCCCCCCCCCCCCAACCAATCACTGATATATATTTTCTGTTCATCGTGGGAGTTCTGTGTGCCATATTTGGTTCAATTCCATCATTGGTGGAGTTCAGAATGCTCTTTGATTGTAGGTGAACTATACAACCCAGTAACTACAACTCGCATATGTCAAGATCTATTTCCCCTCAAAAGCGCCTCAAGAGCACCCCTGGGCAAAACCAACTATACTGCAAATGCTTACTTTGCGTAATGGGTTGAGCCGCCCCTGGGTATTGGGGTAACGATACAAAAGGTTTGCTAGGATAGACCCTCTTTCACTCAGACTCAGCCCTCCCCCCCACCCAATCAAAATCCTGGCTATCGGTCGGAGTTGGCTTGATGCACCTTGCTCTTAGCACGTTTCTCCCTTTCACCCTCCATTCGTGCCTCTTCAAATTCTGCAGCACTGCTGGTCACAGCTGACCTCCAACTGGAGCGCTCAAGGGCCAGGGCTTCCCAATTCTCAGCGTCTATGCCAGAGTTTTTAAGGTTGACTTTGAGCCCGTCTTTAAATCTCCTTTCCTGTCCTCCAACAGTCCGTTTCCCGTTCTTGAGTTCGGAACAGAGCAACTGCTTTGGGAGACGGTGGTATGGAGTATCCGCGGATGGAGACATCTATATCAGGCTTGGGCAAACTTGGTGTCTTGGACTTCAATCCCCATTACTAACAGCCTGGTGTGTGCCTGCAGGAGGGAGGGCACAGCCTTTCTGCTCAGGTGGGGAGGCTGGCGGGCTTTGGCGGTGTCAGAAGAGGAGGAGGAGGAGGCGAAGGAGGAGGCGATTGAAGCGGCCGTCATTTCCGTCGTGTGTTGTGTGCCTCTGCGAGAGGGAGAGGAGGGGGGAGCCAAGGAAGGAGGGAGCGAGGAGCAGGAGCAGGAGGAGGGCAGGCGAGCCAGCAAGCCAACCCGCCCGCCAAAGCGCTCTCCTTCAGCGGAGCCGAGGAAGAAAAGAAGCCTGCGCTGCGGGGAAGGAGAGGGAGAGAGAAGGCAGGCAAGCAGGCACCTGGGCCCTCGAGGGGGGCTCTCTCCCGCCCTGCCTTCCCCGCTGGAGGGCCCGAGCCAGCCATGGGCAACGCCGCCACCGCCAAGAAGGGCAACGAGATTGAGAGCGGTAAGTGCGAGGCGGGGGCGGAGGGCAGGCCCAGGCCTAGGCAGGAGAAAGAGGAGGAGGAGGAGGAGGCCTGCGTGTCGGCTGCAGCCCTCCCCGGCTTAGGAGTAAGCGGGTTAACCGGTCTCGGCCAGGTTCAGGGCAGCCAGCCGCAGGAGAGCAGCTCCTCCTCCTCCTCCCTCAGCCCTCCTTCCTCTCTCCTTCCTTCCTCACTCTCTCTGTCCTTCGGCGGAGTGCGTCCTCTGCTTAGGTCAGTCTATCCCAATGGAGAAGGGAAGGCATTCCCAAACTCGCCCCTTTCTCCCCCTTCTTTCTGTATCTCTTGGCGAACTCTTGGCCCTCTTCAGGAGGAGAAGCCTTTCTCTCCCCAACCCGCCGTGCCTAATGATGTCAACTCGGTGTTGTCCTCCAGGTGTGTTTTTTTTAGGGGGACTTCAACTCCCAGAAGCCCCCGCCAGCTGGGCCAAGGCTCAAGCATTCTGGGAGTTGAAGTCCCAAACACTCTCAAGGCCTTTCCTTTCGACCTCATTACGCAGCGCTCTTGAGCTTCTCCCTGGACGCTGAGAAGGCTTCAAGAGTCAGTCAACAGAGAAGCAGAGGTTGGACCCATCTGCTCTGGTTGGGTTTAATCCTCAGCCTTCGTTGTGGCTGTTTGGATATAGTTTTCCAAACTAGAGCGATTGGAAACCGTTATTCTCCAGTTTCAGGAACTTGTGGGAAACTTTCCCCTGTTTGTGGAGCGCTTCAGTTTGTCTACATGAGGAGCGTGTGAAGAATAAACAACAAATGGCCTCATCAAACTAGGGAATGAATCCCCTTTAAATCCGGTTGCTCCCTCCTGCAGAATTCTGGGGTTTGTAGTTTAGGGAAAAGCCTTTAACAGACTCACCAAACTACAAAGCCCAGAATTCTGCAGGAGGTAAAACCGGATTTAAAGGGGATTCATTCTCTGTTGTGATGAAGTAGAAAGAGCCTTTTGGTTTATTACTACCTAGTCCCCATTTCAACATTTAATTCTTTCATTGTAAGTTTACTGTTATTATTGAGCATTATTTTGTATTATTCCTGATGTTGTTTTTTTACTTTGTAAGGCATTGACTGTTTGACTTTTTGTATTGTAAAACGCCCTGAGTTACTTTGTATTGTAAAATGCCCTGAGTTACTTTGAGAGAGAGGTGCAGTCTAGAAATAAATTATTATTATTATTATTATTATTATTATTATTATTATTATTATTATCATCATCATTATCGTGGCATCCATGAGCAAGTTTTATTTGCATTGTTGAAGGCTTTCATGGACAGTTTTCTGGGCTGTATGGCCATGTTCCAGAAGCATTCTCTCCTGATGTTTCGCCTGCACCTATGGCAGGCATCCTCAGAGGTTGTGAAGTCTTTTGGAAACTAGACAAGTTGGGTTTATATATCTATGGAATGTCCAGGGTGGGAGAAAGAACTCTTGTCTGCTGGAGGCAAGTGTGAATGTTGCACTTGACCACGTTGATTAGCATTGAATGGCCTTGCAGCTTTAAAGCCTGGATGCTTCCTGGCTGAGAGATTCTCCCACCCTGGACATTCCACAGATATATAAACCCTACTTGCCTAGTTTCCAGCAGGCCTCACAACTGGGTTGCTGTGAGTTTTCCGGACTGTATGACTATGTTCTAGACACATTCTCTCCTGACGTTTCACCCACTTCTATGGCAAGCATCCTCAAAGGTTGAGAGGTCTGTTGGAAACTAAGCAAGTGAGGTTTATATATCTATGGAATGTCTAGGGTGGGAGAAAGAACTCTTGTCTGCTTGAAGCAAGTGTAAATGTTGCAATTGGCCACCTTGATTAGCATTGAATGGCCTTGCTGATTGCTGCCAGGGAGAATCCTTTGCTTGGAGGTGTTAGCTGGCCCTGACCTCACAATCTCTGAGGATGTCTGCCATAGAGAATGCTTCTGGAACATGCTCATACAGCCTGGAAAACTCAGCAACCCAGGTTTTATTTGGCCTCAGCTTTTGTAATAATAATAATAATAATACTTTATTTATAAACCGCCCTATCTCCCCAAGAGGACTCAGAGCGGTTGTAGGCCCCTTCCACACAGCTGAATAAAATCCCTCATCATCTGCTTTGAACTGGCTATATGGCAGTGTGGACTCAGATATTCCAGTTCAAAGCAGATATTGCGGATCATTCTGATGTGCATTTCTGTGTTATATAGTTGTGTAGAAGGGCCCGTAGACTGGAGCTCACCTTCTTGCATGTTATGGTCCAAAAGCTTATGCCAAACATAACTTGTTCATATTTAAGAATGTCAGGCAACTATCTTTAAAAATCCAAATCTTATCTAGTAACAGATTTTACAATTCAAGTAGATTAAAAGTTTGTCATGCACCATTTCCATAAGCTATAGGAGGCTGCTGGTAAAGCAGACGTGGGTATGATTCATTGTATTAGGTATTTAATCGCTGGTGTGATAATTATTTAATTTGAGTTGAGTCTGGCTTCAGAAACAAGTCTCTCATTTTCCCCGTTTGTTATTGAAGGTAACTTGCTTGTGTTTATATACCCACGTTTTGCCGCCGCGTTCCGACGCCTACATAATCATTCTATCCTCAACTTATTTAGCATTCCCGGAGTTTTGTTTTGCATTTATTTATTTATAGTGTACACACAAACAAACCATTTGTTAGATTTGCAGTGCTACGTGCCCAGTAGGACTTACTTTTGACGTTAATTTAGACAAATGCTGTACGTCATTTATAAGGTTGTGATGATTTTAGTAAATAAAAGACTTCATTTTGAGGAGAGTCATCTGTCTGTTCCAATAAAACAACTCTTTGGTTGAATAGAGGAATGAATGCTTATATCCTTCTCTGGAGGTTTTAAACAGACTGAAATGCCAATTGTCAAGAGAGCTTTGATTATGTGTTCCTTCATGGCAGAAGGGGGTGAAACTGGATGGCCCTTCTGGTCTCTTCCAACTCTATGGTGTAATCTTTTAAAGAAATCCAGGATGTGATGTATGCTTCAGAGCATATTCCTGTTGCATTCATTTGGCTTTACCCCTTGATAACTGTAAAATTTCAGCTTTATTCCTGTTCTGGAAGATGAAACCTTCACTGTGTTTGGTTTTAGTGGTTTTTAAACTGGATATAGGATACATATAAGGGGACACAGTAGCATAGAGGATTAAACCGCTAAACTGCAGAACTTGCTGACCAGAAGGTCAGTGGTTCGAATCTGCGGGATGGGGTTTGCTCCCACTGTTAGCCCCTGATTCTGCCAACCTAGCAGTTTGAAAACATGCAAATGTAAGTATATCAATAGGTACCGCTTCGGTGGGAAGGCAACAGCACTCCCTGTAGTCATGCTGGCCACATGACTTAGGAGGCATCTAGGAGCAACACCAGCTCTTTGGCTTAGAAATTGAGATGAGCACCACCCCCCAGAGTTGGACTTGAAAAGACTTAATGTCAAGGGGAAACTTTTACCTTTACTTATAGGATATATATAGGATAACAATATCTCCAGAAGCAGCTTGTGGAAGTGTAGTGGGAGAAAAGTACTTTGAAGAACAGGTACAGACTAATATGAAAGTGCTATGTTGCAATCCTTTTTTGAGGAGAGAACCGTTATGCCAGCCTTATTTAAACTAACACTAATCATGGTGTTTCAAAAAGATGGATCCAATTTGAAATCGCTATATCTCTGCAACCCTGAACTGCTCATGAATGAAACTCCTAGCCCTCAAAAAGGTGGGCCATAGAGTTTCAAAGGAGTACTGCTAAAAGCCTCTCCCAGTGCACAAGCAGCCCTGAGCCTTTGTCATTTGCAAGATAATGACCGTGCAACATAAGGCTTAATGAGATATTTTCTATTTGCATTTTTTTAAATAAATTTTATTAGAGTCATACATAAATACATAGATAGAGGGAGAACAATATATAGCAGATAGTGCAGTAGGAAAAGTACAGGGAGGCCCTGTTGTTAGAAAGTCTCCCAAGGAATGTAGGATGGGAGGGTAAGAAAGGGGTAGGTAGGGAAGGGGTTGGGTGGAGATGGGGCGGGGGTTAAGGGGGGGTAGGTGGGCTATGGGGTAGTTAAAAACTTTGAGCTTCCATCTATTCAATGAGGATTTTCTATAAATATTTTCAGTTTAATTTCTTTAACTCTTCTTCCTTCCTTGTGACGCTGGTTTTGTGATTTACTCTTTTGTATTTTTTTTATTTTATTTTTTAATAAATGATGTCCATTTTCCATTTCTTAAGGAAGACCTTTACCAGGTCCCAGTTCGTAGGTTTACTTGGGATGCCATGGTTTGGTGTTATCCAATAGGTCAGTTCATCCATGGTCATTATATCAAGGATTTTGTTGAGCCAGTCTTCTCCTTGGGGGGCTTCTCTCTGTTTCCATTTTTTAGCGAATACAATCCGTGCTGCTGTAGTTAAGTAATGGAATAATTTGTCATTGTTTTTTTCCCCATTAATATCATACATTCCCAGGAGAAAGAATTCTGGTTTGTTTTCTATTTGTATTCCTAAGATCTTTTGAATATCTTTTTGAATCATTGTCCAGTATCTTTTGGCTATGGGACAGGACCACCAGATGTGGAAGAAAGTTCCAATCTGGTGTTCGCACTTCCAGCATTTGTTTGAAGCGTTTTTATAACATTTTGAAATTATTTGGGGAGTCAGGTACCACCGATGGATCATTTTGACAAGATTTTCTTTCAATTCATATGAGTAGGTTAATTTCATTCTTTGGTTCCAAACTTTCTCCCATTTATTCAGTTCTATTTGGTGGCCTATGTTTTGGGCCCATTTAATCATTGAGTCTTTTATTTGTTCCGTTTCGGTGGTCCACTCTAGTAATTTTTTGTAGATTTTTGTGATAAGTTTGTTGTTTGTCTTCAATATACTGTCCAAGAAGCCATTTTTAAAAGACTTGTTTCTGGCTCAAAATGGTTAGTATAATTTGATAACACATTAAACCATTTATAATTCTTTG